TTGTGGTCAGATGTTTTCTTCCCTCTTTTTCAGTGAAATGTTACCAGTGTGCGACAGCTCAGCCTTTCCAACGGAGGGAGGGATGGTGTTATGTAATGTCTAAGGAAGCCATGTTTACACGTTCTTCAATTTCCTGACCTTTGCTCTGGTGGAGGCTGGAGTGAAGGGTGATGGATATGAGAGTGAGAAAAACCTAGGGAACCAGAGCAGAGTGTCTGGGGCCCGCCAGTGCCCTGCTGCTCTTGATCTGGCTTCTGGGATCTTCTTGGATAATGGTGTCCCTCAATACCAGGTCCCTGCCTTGCCGCCCTCCTTCCTCTGTTCATTTGAGGGCAGTGAGTGTCATTTGGTAAATCTAAATCATGGAATAGGTTAATCATCCTGCATGGAGCAACACAAACACTCATGGAGGCCAAGGGAGGCCAACCAAGGATAACAGGTGTCCTCTTCAGTCATCACTGGATGCCTTATTCCTTTGAGGCAGGGTTTCTCCCTAGTCCTAAAGTTTGCATTTTTCTTCTAGCCTGGCAACCAGCAAGCCCTTGAAATCCCACCCCCTGTCTCTACCACTCCCCAACCCTGGGGTTATGGGCATGCATGGGACCATGCTTTGTTTGTTATTGGGTGCTGGGATCTGAACTCAAGTCCTCATAATTGTACAAAAGGCACCTTTACTCTAGGAGCCATCTCTGTAACCCTACTATATAGAATTTCTAAAGTCAGGATATTTTCTACCACATAAACATGGCAAACATTTGTGTTTTTAATTTTACCACTAATATTTCTTTAAAGTAGAATATGATTTCCACCTATTAAAGTCACCTGATGGGTACGTGTCTCTAGAAAATGTCTGTGAGCACCAAGAGCCATCTAAAAGAAGTCCCAAAGAGACTTGATGTTCTAGTTGCCTTTCTGTTGCTGTGACGTAACACCATGACCAAGAGCAATTCAGGAAGGGAAAGGGCTTATTTCAGTTGACACTTCTAGGTCACAGTCCATCAGTGAGGCAAACTAAGACAGAAGCTCAAGCATGAACTAAAGCAGAAACCATGGAGGAACTCTGCTTATTCTCTCTCTCTCTCTCTCTCTCTCTCTCTCTCTCTCTCTCTCTCTCTCTCTCTTGTTCATGGCTAGCTAGCTTTCTTATACATCCCAGGTCCATTTGCCTAGGGATGGTACCACAGGGGCTGGGCACTCTCACATCAATCAAGACATTTGTCACAGACACATTTGCTAGTCTAATCAGTGCAGTTCCTCAGTTGAGGTTCCCTGTTCCCAGGTGACCCTAGGTCTTATCCAGTTGACAATAAAAACTAACCAGCACACTTGGCAACTGAATATAACATGTGGTCTTAAACTAAACCTTGAATTAGAGGGAGAGAAAATAATGTCACTAGGTCAGTGATATTCAAGTATCATGCCAATGGCAAGCTTCCTGAAGTAGATAACCACCTTGTCATTATATTTTTAAAAATTCTCTTTCTTGGGCTGGAGAGATGGCTCAGCGGTTAAGAGCACTGACTGCTCTTTCAGAGGTCCTCAGTTCAATTCCTGGCAACCACATGGTGGCTCACAACCACCTTGAATGAGATCTGGTGCCCTCTGCTGGCATGCAGGCAGAAGACTGTATACATAATAAATAAATAAATCTAAAAAAAAAAACAAAAACAAACAAACAAAAAACAAAAATTTCTTTCTTAGGAAACCTTCCCAAACAGCACTTGGGGTGAAGGAGCACTTGTACATAGCTTATTCCTGTTCAGAGATGTGTGTGTGTGTGTGTGTGTGTGTGTGTGTGTGTGTGTGTCCATGCAATATAATGCAAACAGAACAGGAGAACAGGGACAGAACACTAAGGTAGGTGACTCAGAGCAAAAGGTGTACCTGGGGACAACGATGGTCTGATTGAGCTTTTCTACTCTGTGATGGTATAAAAACCTTCCACATCCATAGGAATCAGGCTTCAAATCTTGATCTTTTCCTTGAAGAGTGATAAGTACTGTGTGATCCTTTCTTACAATGATGGGCAACCATACTGACTTGGCAGCCCTGTCAGCCAAGAGATCACAACAGTGAACAATGGACACCCTATGGCAGACTGTGAGGCCAGGGAAATTAGAGACATCCCAATGCATTTTCAACGTGGGTTGTGCTCAGCTTAAGATGAATGTAGTCCAGGTAAACTATTGCAAATTGAGGAGCCAATGTTCTTAGCACTATTCTTGTTTTCCTGAAGTTCCAAATAAAATATTTTTAAATGAGCAATTAAAAACAAACAGTCCTTTCATCTTGGCAATTTCATTTCTAGAAGTATAACATAAGGAAATAATCTGAGATGAAGAAAAATAGGCCCTGAAAGCCATTTAATGAGATGCAAATGTTGGTAAAACATCAGGAATCAGCTGAAAGTCAAGAACTGGCCCTGGCTCCATAAACAGCTGGAGATAGGAGGAGATGGAGCTTGGCAGGACAGGACAGAGATTTCAGGCAGGACGAAGCATGCAGAGAGTGTGAAGAAGGTCCCTGTATGGCTGTGTCAGGCCATGAGATGGTAGAACCAGATTTTGCTTGTAGAGATCAAAACCAGAAGCAAGATCCACATTAGAGGTGTCTCATTAGACTTTGCCATGGGCCATGAGATGATGGAGGCTTGGTCTTGGGATGGCACTGGCACTGAGGAGTGCTCACTTTGGAAACAGAGTTGGCCTCATGGTCAAGGTGAGGTCAAAGTGGTGTCCAGAGGACCCCCAAGGTTCTAATGTGTTCCCAGGACATTATGCCAGGACAGTGGTGTTCGGCAAGGGCATGGGGCTCTGAAAGGGCCAAGCAGGCAGTTGGATATCCAGGTTTAGAAATCTTCAGTAGAAGAGAAAGGACTAGAGATGAAATCTTGTTTGGGATGAAAGATTTTTCTTTTCTTTTTCTCCCTTTCCTTGTTTCCCATAATTAATATGAAAGAACGTTGTCAGAATTCTTTTTTTTTTAAACAATTTAGGCAATTGTCATTTGCTTTTTTGACCTAGGCAGGTAAGAAAACAGCTGGCCCCAGCAGGTCCTTAACTAGAAGGAGCATAAAGGGCTTCCTTCTTCCTGACCCCACATGTAATAACCAGAGTTTTGGCTCCCATCCAAAGCCTGGTTGTTCAAGAAAGTGGGGAACTGGGAACTAAATGGCAAGAACACATAGATGTGGGTGTGTTCACTACTGGCACATCCCCCCCCCCCAACCACCCCACGCCCACCC